TTAGGGTAACAGACCGTCAGATACAGCGAATGAGCTTCAAGTTTCAATCAACAAATTTTAGCAACCAATAGCTATGGAATGTTGAAAACAAAATACTGTCAAAGTATGAGATGACAACTTGTCATTGAAACATCACCAGCTTATTGAATATTAAGAAATTACATATAACAAATAAAATATTTTCTTTCAGGACATCAACTGATCGCGGAGTGGTGTCGTACACTTTACTCTTGAGGTAGCCCCATAAAAAGAAGTCCATTGGGGTCAAATCTGGACTACGTGGTGGCCAGGAAATGTCTCCTCTTGGAGAAATTACTTTGCTGGGAAAAAGTTGACAGACGACGGGCATAGAAGTGTTGGAGGTGTAGGCAGTTGCTCCGTCCTGTTGAAACCAGGTCTGCGTATTATAGCCTGGAAAATTCTGCAACGCTGGTGTCAAAAACTCTTCTAGCTTTGCTACATACCGCTCCGAAGTAACAGTTAATGCGCGACCTCTGTCGTCCTCAAAAAAATAAGGGGCTACGATGCCATGCGCTGACATAGCAGCCCAAACTGTAACTTTAGGGCTGTGTAAGGGCTTCTGATGCTTACGCCTTGGATTTTCGGGGCTCCAATAACGGCAATTTTGTTTATTTACATGCCCGTTTAAATGGAAGTGAGCCTCGTCCGAGAACAACACATTATTGAGCGAAGAAAATCGATTCAACATTTCATTCGCAAAGTTTAGTCTCTGAATAGCGTCATTATCTTTTAATTCCTGCACTAACTGAATTTTGTAAGCGTGCAGACGTAAATCTTTCCTTGAAATCCGCTGTAAAGATGTTCTGGGTACGTTTAGTGCACTGGAACGCTTACGAGTAGACTGGGTAGGATTTTGACGAACAGACTGTGCCACTATGTTGATGTTTTCTTCAATACGAGTTGTCCTTGGTCGACCCCACCGCTGTTTATCTAACGTCGAACCAGTCTCTTCGAACTTAGCAACCCAGTTCTTAATCGCTTGAGCTGTTGGACACTTTGTAAAATGACAACACGGTGTTTTGTGTTTGTCAGCGGCCATTTTGTGAGGGTGCGACAGGGTTGCCAGATTGTGCATTAATATCCCGTTTCACCCTCCTGGTCCCAGCGGAATAAGTTCCGCCAACTGTTGAAATATGCTCTACTATGCTTTATAAGAATATACGTGGAATTTTTCCCAAAATCGTTGCACAACACTTGAAAAAATGCAAATGAAAATTTAAAATTATTTCCATGACGTCGCAAAATAGCTCCGTCTTCACCTCGGGTTATACATCTTGACAGTAGGGATGTTCGATACGATCCTATATTTAGAAGTATTGATACATTTCACGAGTATCGTCATCTTTCGATCCGGACTGTGTCAGAAAGAGTGACTACAGTATATTCAGATAAGAGATAGACCGGACATAAACAAGACCACGTGATCATCGAACGCTGTAACATTCGGCAGGGACGTATTAAGAGTCACGCAGTACATATTTTAGATAGTAGATGCTGCTTTGCGTAACTTTGTAGTAAATTAGCACAATTCGATGTGTATACGATTGGTGATGGATATAGGATCATGTGGGGGTGGGGTAAGAAATATATAATGATGTAAATATACATAAGGGTTTCAAAATTTTCGCTTCGATTTCCAGCTTCGGATGCCGCCTGATGTTTGGTGAAATACAGTCGAATATAATCTCAAAATGGCGTTTAAATTAGCCTAAATTAAAAATAATCGTATATCTCTTAAAATTGCTTTTAGAATATTGATTAGTATATTTTTTGATTTCTAGGTAAATATGTAACCAAATTAAAACGTTCAAAACGTAAAAAAATGTGCATGGTTGAACATTGTCAGAAAGTAGATTCTTGAATAGGTTTTGCCAAAATGGGTTCAAAAATGTCAATAATTAATTAAAAAATACAGTAGCTTTATAATTACTTATAACTTATCGAATTTGATGAACGACATCTTTTATTGGAAAGATGAGCTTGATGAGCTTTCATCATCGCTACTGCCTGAAGCACCAACGTCAATAATGAATGGCTCGACTTGTTCCTCTAAAATATTGTCCAGTTCCCACATTCTTTTTTCAACTTTGTCTTTCACGTGCTTAATACAGTTTTCCCATTTTTGCGCTGTTATTAATTCTAGTGCTTCTTTGAAAAGTCCTTTGAGGTCACAAAATTTAAAAGTTGTATTGTGCTTAGCTATATAATTTTTAACCTCTGCCCATATGAGCTCAATGGCATTGAGCTCGCAATGGTATGGAGGTAAACGGAGCGCAGTTTTATTTTGACTTGCTGCCATTTCGTCAATGGCGTATTTTTGATATTCCGCCTTGTGATCCTTGACAATTCTTAATAATTGTACTTTCAGCACTGCTTCTTCAAAGCTGATATTTTTCGAACGGAGCCAACTTTGAACATTAACTTTCCTTGAAGCCGTTGTTGGGACCTTCTCCATTCTTCGAGAATGATAAGGCGCATTATCCAACACAATTACTGCGTTTTCCTCTATGTTCGGTAAAATTTTTGAAAACCACTGTTCAAACGATTCGCCATTCATTTCCTCGTGGTAAGCTCCAGTCAACAACAAATCCATCCTCACTGCCAATATGGCAGATAATGAGCCTTTTCCCTTTACCTGGAAATCGAAGTACTAACTGGTGTAGATTTATTTCAATAAGCGAACCTTTTTCAAATGTTTTCATCACATTCAGCGAAAAAACATTGAGACATGAGTATCAGATTGCTATAATTGGGATTATTTAGTCATATTGAAAGAAAGAATATTGAACGTCGTATGATTACTCAGCGCTTCACAATTTAATTTAAAGTTATAAACCTTTAAAAAATGAATGATCAGGAACCTGAAATACGCGCAAATATTAATATTAACAAATTATAACTTTATAAAGCTTAAAGTATGAATTAAAATGATTAGAAATATTAGGAACGGTACACAATATAAAACTTAGTAACTTTTTTTAAGTTTATAATATTCGACATATTTTAAGATTATATTAAAAAATTATTGAAATATCGAAAACACATAAAAACATGGCTTAAAAAAGTTCTAACAAATGAAAATGACAATAAAACATCCACGCATTTTATCGAAAGTTATAAAAGTTTTGTTACTTGTAATATGTTTTATCTGCCCCCTGGAATTAATGTTTAGAACCTTGTTCCCAAGGTTTGAAAAACATCCGATTGTTGTCTATTACTCGTATTTACCTGCTGGATTTTTTAATCCGGTGGACAGTCCATCTAGAAAGGCCCTCCTGGATGAAGTTACAGAATCATCAACCCATACTTTACTTGTAGTGTGTCCTGCGTTTACCCACGTTTCATCAAGGTAATAAATCTTTGTTTTGATTTATATATTTCCCAATTTTTGTTAAATAATCCCTCCTCCATAGCACAATTTCTTCTCTATCCAGTAGTAAACTATTACGACCCCGTTTTTTCCATTTGAAATTTAGATGCTTCAGTAACGCATGGAAAGTTGATCGTTTGAAATTTGGCAACGTTGTATCTCCATTTACCTCCTGCAGTACTTTATCTATAGTAGGTATTTCATTCCTAAAGAAGAATTCATGCACTTTCCTCCTAATCGCATGCTTATTAGCTTCATCCAATGATTTAACAATACTTTTGCGATGTTTATTGGTCATTGGCTCAGAAAAGGTGTGATTTTTTTTGTATTGTCTTAACACATTAAACACTGATGCGCGACACACCCCAACTTTGTGAGAAACCTTCACAACAATTTCTTTGATGGTTGATGCCTTGTTCTCCTCGCGCTCGATCTTATATATATTCAAAACGACCTCTTTCATTTCTGCACTCAGGTGTCTTTTTTTAGAGCGTTTCCTGGGTGGACTACAGGAGTTTACAACTTCATCGGCAGTATCTGTACTACTGGGCATTTTGCGAAAGCAGTTGATAACAATAACAATCAATAACAAGGTATAACAATAACAACGACAAACTCAACAACTTAATAAGATAACAAACGAAAACGTCCAAAGAAATATCAAATTGCAATGATGCACACGACATACGTAACACGTCTGAACCTGAATGTGACTCTGCCTTGATACGACTGCTCTGCCGCTCGGCATAGGCATTTAATTGCAAATTGACCAATGAGGGCTCCTGTTTTACGTCGAGGCGGCGGCGTTAGCGTGAAAATCACCCAAACCTTTTGTTTACATCCGGTCTATCTCTTATCTGAATATACTGTAACTTCACATTATTTTTATTCTTTGTTTCCTTCCGCTGGATGTCGATAATTTTATTCCAATATTTTAGAGTATCGATACTTCCTAAAACAATAAGAATCGATACATAACGATACTTTTCGGGGATCTAAACATCCCTAATCTTGACAGATTGTCGTTCGAGTCAATTGGACTGCAGGGTGCGGTGTTGCCTTTACTATCTCACATTTTGCTAAAATCTTATGACAAATAAAAGCTTCAAATGAAATATTGACGAATATGAACGGATAAGCATAGAATATAAATTCATCTTGCAAATTTCAGATTGTCTATGCATGGACTTGAACCGGATTTGTCGGTATTTTTACCGAAAAGAGAATATTTACCGATAACATCATTTTCCACGATTTTTCAAAAGTAATTTAAATATTTCTATGCTTGTGGGAAAAGAGCTGAAACCAAAAATAAAGCTAAAAGTTTATTTTATGTAGTCTGAATTGATTTTTGTGCATACAAAAGGTACAGACTGGTAGATTACCGTCATTACCTCATCACCGGACAAGCAATGAAGAAATCGAAACCAGTCTGTTTTCAATATAAATATTTAATTAAAATGAGAGGTGAGTACATGATTTCAGTGGTAAAACAGAAAAATATTCACAATAATATAAGCAAGAATCGAAAAAGGAGTTTCCAGAATGGTTGCAAAGTACTTTGAATGAGCGATCAGTATGCACATTGTAGAGGTTGTAATATAGCACTATGCCCTCAAAAAACATTTGTGTGCGCGACCAATATAATAGCAGACGTTTTTCATGACTCAAAGGTCCTTGATCTACCACTGATCTTGGGACGGCATTTTCCTTATACCGAATTTTCGGACACTATTTACCGATTCCGTTTTTTTGCCGCTTCGGCAACACTGCAGATGTACAGATCACTTTAAAAGCAATTGATATCCCAGACGCGTTATAATAATAGAAATAACAAGAAAATAAAACAATGATTGTAGATATATTTTCATAAATAGGTGTTTTTGATTCTGACTTATTATATCTAGATGGTGAATAATAGGTGGATGCGGATACTTACAAACATCGATGTTTTACGACCCAGAAATGCAGAATATGCTGTTTGTTTACATTTGGTGTGGATTTCTAGTTCATAAATTGGCAAAAATTGTTATTGATGTAACAAAAGATGATGAACCAGTTGGAATACGTTTTATATCCTTTATTTTTGGAAAATAACAAAAATCGGTTCATTTCTACAGGTGCGTATTGTGTACAACACCCTGTACGTGATATAGAGACAAAACTAGATTGCCATGCATGAACAGTCATCAAAAACAGTGATAACATCCTGCCGAATAAAATAGCTAGAAAATCGACCTATTATTTGCCGCATTCCCATTGGTCCACTTAATAATAATAATAATAAAATGTCTTTATTAGGCACATTATATAAACTACAACATAATGTGTCCTCTACGTAGGCGAAGTCTAGCTCTTGGCTACTCTACTTAACCTACCCAAATAATAAATTGAAATACTTAATCAAAGGAAACTTTGACAAGCAGCAAAAGACGCTTCAAAACAATGAGCTTGATAGCTTCCTGACATACATAATATATACACACATATACTTAAATAACTGACCGTCTTTTTTGAAATGATAAAAATTTTAAATTCTATGAAAGCAGAAAGACATAATAGTACATCCATAATGTACCCTTATTTATAAGGCAACCGTTTTTTCGCGACCTTATTCAACATTTCAATAGAAATCACTGTCAAATTGCATTTTCGATAAGGTCTTTTCCTTTTGGTCCAACTGTCCGTTAAATATTAATATTGGTGAAATTGGCCCTTATTCAGCCAAACAGGCCCATGCAATTAGTACATACTCCTTAGTCCCACCCATTTGATCAAGCTTCTGCTCGACCACGTGGCAACACCGCTGAACCACCCACAAATTCAGCATACCGCACACAACACGATAACACCGACCACTTCTAAACATCTGGCAACATTGTTTAACCACACTATAGTTCACGGCACAAATCCAGCATCGACTCGTTCAAAGCACAAATACCGTGCTTAGACATACAGCGTTGCCAAATGAATTTTGGTCTTAGAGGCACTCCCAGACCAATTAGAAATCATGTGGTACATTGAAAGAAATGGTACACTAAACCTAATGTGATCAGAGAAGTATAGGTACAGTTTAAAATTCAAAGACGATCTAATTTACTCCATTACACAACAATCGTACATACAGGGTGTTCATTTGAAAACATCCCACCACGGATTTATCGAAAACCACTGATTAAAGGAAAAAAAACAACACCTAGACATGTCAAAAGTATATACAGGGTGACTTCGAAGTTGAGTCATTTATTTTAACAGTGAGTATATCTGATCAAAAGAAATGTTTTTTCCTTTACCATTTTTCTGGTAAAATTAAAGTAACAAAGTTATAGCCCTTTGGAAGTTTGAGTACCGCCCTGTCTCAATAATAATATTATGTGCTCGTGTTTGGCAACAACGGATATAATCCGCCTTATCGGTTCATCGCATCGGAAACAAAAAAGCGAAAGAATTTGGAACGATGTTTTTACAATTATTTTATTCAGTTGTATACAGTCAGTGTCAGTCGGTAACGCGTGAGTGAATAGTGGTGTCTGTTGCGTGGCTCAAACGAAATAAAAAATGGCACATGTTTATGCGGATCGGTTTCCCAATCGAGTGCAACCAACCCCTCGTGCCTTTGTTAATGTAGTACAACGGGCTCGAGAATCAGGTGACTTAAGACCTCACAGGGGACGGCATGCCGGTGCTCCAAGACCTCACGATCAAATACAGGTCCGCACTGAAATACTTGTCGGGAGGATACTTTATAAAACAAGGTAAAATTTTTTTTTATTTTTTTTTATTTTTACACACATATTTTGGTTTATCTTCCTTCTACAATCATTATCTGAAATTAATGACTCAACTTCAAAGTCACCCTGTATATATATGAATAAATGTTATTAACGTTTAGGTTGAAGAAACACCCAGTAACCTGGTGAAAGCTGGATACATGGTACATTCATCAAAATTAATATAAACTACACACAGCTGTACTAAACGTTAATAACATTTAGCAACATTCTCACATACTACTGTAAGTTAATTTAAAATCATTTTGCACAATAGTTGCTATTTCTTCTCAACGTTATTGCAGCTCTGATGAAGATGGCAAAGTCCATTGAAAGCTAGAGATTAATAAAGTATAAAGGGTCCTCATTGCATGAATTTTGTCGAGGTACCCAACAAAAGCGGAACTTTATTATATATATTATATATAACATCAACGGCTAGCGAGATACTACACATCCACGTATCCCCATATCATCCCCCACTCCACCTTCCTGGTTTGGGATTGGTTCTGCGTATGGGCTCGATCAATTCTGCCCAATAACAGTTATTCCCGTCTCCTGAAATACAGGGTGACTTTGAAGTTGAGTCATTAATTTTCAGATAATGATTGTAGAAGGAAGATAAACCAAAATATGTGTGTAAAAATAAAAAAAAAATAAAAAAAAATGTACCTTGTTTTATAAAGTATCTCCCGACAAGTATTTCAGTGCGGACCTGTATTTGATCGTGAGGTCTTGGAGCACCGGCATGCCGTCCATATGTGAGGTCTTAAGTCAAATGATTCACGAACCCGTTGTACTACATTAACATAGGCACGAGGGGTTGGTTGCACTCGATTGGGAAACCGATCCGCATAAACATGTGCCATTTTTTCTTTCGTTTGAGCCACGCAACAGACACCACTATCCACTACCGAGTGACACTGACTGTATACAACTGAATGAAATAATTGTAAAAACATCGTTCCAAATTCTTTCGCTTTTTTGTTTCAGATGCGATGAACCGATAAGGCGAATTATATCGTTGTCGCCAAACACGAGCACATAATTATTATTGAGACAGGGCGGTACTCAAACTTCCAAAGGGCTATAACTTTGTTACTTTAATTTTACCAGAAAAATGGTAAAGGAAAAAAACATTTCTTCTGGTCAGATCTACTCACTGTTAAAATAAATGACTCAACTTCGAAGTCACCCTGTATATCAACGTGCTGATCACGAGCTAATCAAGCGATGATCACTGTTTTAGTTCAATGTCTTTCGTGGATATAGAATAGGTTAGCTTTTATCTCTCTACGACACTAATATAGACGCATATCCGCACAAGAACACTCAGTTGTTGGGGATAGTGATATTGCGTAAGAAATCAAAGCACAGCTATTCAGACTGACTGGCCACGCTCAATGTCAAACACTCGTCAACGATTGTTTTGGTAAAGTTGATCTAGAGAGGAAGTACCGGCTGTAAAATACCTCTAGGAACCGTAGAAATGGAGGGATAAAAAGTCAGACCTAGCAAAAATGGACTTGATGAAGGGCTGCACCTGATGGAGTCAGTCAAAACCAAACCGGAGTTGTGTGCTGTGTTGTAATTACGTCAAAGTTCACTACACAAAATTTCCAGGAATCTAGCTTCTAAACATTGCGTTGGCACTGGTCTATCTTGGACTGTTCATAGAGGAATCATAATAATTCCAGTTAAATACCGATGGACCCACAAAACTGTCACGCGGCAACGACAGCAACAATGGAAGAGGGTATACAAACTAATGACAGCAAACCACGAGCCACGTAGATGCATTAGCATCAGAAGAGGACGCGCGTGTAACTATGAAATATCCTGAAAGGGATTTTATGTTTGGGAGTCGGTTTAATTGTGATACATTCCAGTGTGGTATTTGTGCTCAAGCATACGGATCCGGTAACAAGAGAAATCAATTATTATTCTGTCTGTAGCAGAATGCGGCACGCTGGTGCTTTGTATATTGTATAATGCCACTTTGTAATTTCAATATAGCTTCTATTTACAGGGAGCTTCATTCATTAATCTATTTTGCCTTATTGTTGGAGAGTCGCGACCAATAGAGAAAATGCAAACATAATGTTTTTGATTTGAGTTCAAACGATATTGAGGGTATAAAGAAATAAATAACAGTTGAAATTTATCCACTGAAGTCAACTTAAAGCAAGTGATTAGCATTTACTGTGATTTGTGAGTATTTATCATTAACAGTGAGACTCATTGACCGTGTTGTCAGAAACTATTGTAATAATAATACCAAGAAAACTACGTAGCACATGCACAAGCAGATTAAAATCAGTATCACATATCTTATACCACAAAATGCGTTTTATTCAAAATACATATACCTACCGTTCTCTTTTGAACTTACTATATCTATTATGTTCTTTAAGACTGCATCTAACTTGTTATATAACTTAGTTGTCATATATTTTGGCGACTTTTTGTTTCTACCTTCATAGCTGTGTAAATCAGCATTTGTGACAAATTACGTACGAGACGTCAGAAGCATAGAGTCAATATACTCTAGCCTTTTTTAAACAAGTTCTTTAAGTGGAAAATACTGAATTAGGTACTAATAGTCACGTTTCTCCGATGAACGCAATGGAGTACCCAGCGTTACCAATGGGCTGGCTCCCTTTCGGCCGACTCAATAATCAGAAAACTATACTCAACAAGAGTTCACAATGGCCATACCGGTCATCTGGTTTACTAAATTACATCCCATCCTACCGCACCGGTGGCAATTTGCACATCTCCTAGGAAAACTGCTATGCCCAGTCGTTTCCCATGGTGGTATCCAATCATCGTTGTAGGCCACATACCCACTATCCTGGATAATACTAATCGTAAATTCAACTCTCAACGCGAGCGTTGCAAAGCGCATACGGGGTAGGTAGATAAAAATTCATTATCACAATAGTTAGTCCAGACTCTAGTTGATCATATTACCTTCAATGAAACCGAAAGTAGTATATAAAAACAGCTCTCGCTGTTTCATATCAGGTTACCTTCAGTAAGAGTTTTTTCCGATAAGCAAAAATAATCTTTTCGTGGTAACTTTGAGCTGAAAAAACTGAGGCTTGGAACAACGGGTCAAGCGTTAAGACAAGCCCAGTTCTCAAAAATAACTGATTCTCAATCGTTCAATTCAAGAAGAAACGTGACTATTACTTCAGGCATAACGGTTTGAGATGGATATTTCGAAAGTACGTGAGGTTTCTAGTGGAGGTATTTCGGAGCATGGCAAAATCCGATACACCTCAGTACCTAACAGCAAAACAACTATTTATATAATTATATCTTTGAAACCATCTAAATATAAACAAAAAAATGCAATTGATATGTGGTCTAATAACACGATACCCTGTAAGATTGTGAACACTTTAAAATTGATCCCAAGTGCCTAACACATCAACCAGTAAGGAGTTCTATTAAAAAAAACTAGTTCATGAGCAACGCAAATAATTCTTGTTAACAAGTATAAATGACTGCAATGTTTTGCCTAATTTTCAGCCATCTTTGTTTTCTTCACAGAGGATTTACTGTCCCAGCTTTGTGCAAATCTATGAGCCAATGCATCAGAGGTATGTGTTTACTCAAAATGGACAGAAGCTCTATTTTGGTTTGGCTCTGAGTATCATTATTAAAACATAATATGAAACAAAATAAATACCAGCAAGATTCTCGATCTTTTCGACATTTATTTTTTCAACTAGTTTCCACCCCTCGCCAGATTCATCGATATTCTTAGTATACACAGTGTCTTGAAACATCTTCAATGGAAACCTTCTAGCTACTACAAAGCCTCCGTCTGAAGAGCTTCTGAAATATTCTGTGATAGATCGTACTGAAGTGTAATCTAGGAAATATCCTTATGTCGACGAATGATGAAGGTATACAAGAATTTGAACCATATTTAAATCACTCTAGTCTAGTGCCATTTGTATCAAGTAACCCTCAGATAATTACTTATCGCCCGAACTAAACCACAAAATGCCAATCTGGTATTCCAACAAGGCACCAATATATCGCATTTACATCAACGTTCGAACGTTTCAAGCACACTCATCATTCTCAAAAAGCAGCCGCAACTCACGGTTTTATTAATCCGTAAATCACATCAAGTGGTCTGAAAATTTTAATATTAATCCTGGTGCGGCCTAGATGATGTACACTCCTCCAATAACTCATCCTAAGTTAATCGAAAACCAGCCCCCTAATTGGAAATTAAATTGTATCGCTGGATGCGCCCGGATTTTTCGAGTGCCAATTAGATGTGCCACGAACAACGAATATGGCTAATGAAAAGCTGCATAGAGTGCCATCGATATATATGAGAAAGATGAAAGGCTGGGGCGGTCGAAGGAAGTTCTTCAGATCGGTTATATGAGATATTACGAAATGCGGAAAGCAAAGGAAATCCCACACTTGGAAGTTTCTACTCAGTTCTTTTGGATTGTCTTTATTATCGTGATGATCCTATGATCCTTCTTATATTCTAGATACGCATAATATCGTGAAACTACAAGCTTATCAAAATGAAAAGTCTACTGCTTAAACGCCTCCAACAATTTCATGTGAGGCTGTCAGTGTCACTGTATAGTAGACGAGGACGATTATAAATAAGCCATTATTAATTTGAGAATCAATTATGATGTGCTTTGTATAGTAGAATTGGCTTATGGAATTTTGTATAAGGTGCCATCGATTTATATATGTCAAAGTCGCAGGACTGGGCGGATCGGTTATATAAGATTGGCATGGGGGAAGCTAATCATATGATTGTAGGTTTCTAGTTGAACAGTTCGGAACGAAGTATATAAGAACTTTTTGTGTTATTTGATTTAGAATCGATATGATTCTTGGACCGTTTTAAAAATAAGAATATCTGTGTCAGTGTATAGATAGAGCAAGTTAAGGGAAATTGTTATATTACCTAAATTATTCTTACGCCATGTGTACCAAATACAGCTTTCAGTCCAGTTCAGTTTCAAGTCTATATGCACTAACTCTCCTATACTCTCATCGTGGTTTCTAAGTTTACACATTCTATTGGCACAAAAATATCTATGCCGGTTCCGGGTCGACAGTTGGCAAATTCGAACGTATATTTTCTTTGAGCGATGTTTGTGGATGCGCTCTGGTAATTATGAATTCTTTTGGTCAGAGGTACTCTATGTGGATGGAATATTCAACTAATAAATAGAAATGAGGGCGGGCAGAGCAACGGAATCTGTTTGCGATGTGAGAGAATATACCTCCTCCATGTTGACTATGAACGTCATTTTATCAGCATTTTTGACTATCTGTTACAGGCCTTACTAGCATTTCTGGGGCATATTTGTCCATTCGTCTGCTTCGTGGACTTAAATTAAATGTATAGTCGTCACTGACAAAGATATGTTCCTACAATTGATGTGGTACAAAGAGCAAAAGATGTCCAATATATCAATATGATGTGGACTAGGATATCTAGAATTTAAAAAAAAACTACAGACGGATTTCACAGAAATGTTTTTTTTGTAAAAAACAAACAAACAGAAAGTTGATGCTCATCTTTTTTATTGATCGTTCAAGTTGAAAAAAATAAGGTTTTGTCATGTATTAAAAAAGCTGCGAAGTATTGAAAACTTTTCATTTGGTAAATCATTTTTTGCACAACAGCACATACAAAATACTTTAGTCCATTATGCTGATTGATATCAAGGAAAAACTGTGTCGTAAATGCTTAACACTTACTGAACATTTATCATTGCCACTATATTTCTTAAGGTTAATGGTTATTTCCTACAAGCTGTCTAGAGACGTAATCTTTGCAGCAAATTGGGCACAGGTATCATTTTAAAGGTCTTTTCATCTCCTACACATTTTCTGTAGACCACTTAGTGTTTGGAATACCCGGGAAACAGTATTTTTTGCAACATTCATCTTTAATAAAGGAAAGCTACCCATCAAACGTTTCTATCTCTAGACCAAAGACCTTTTCATTTTGTTTGCCTCAAGAAATCCATGCCGATCTACTACAGTACACCTCTAAATCAAGATAGTGAGCCGTATTCATCAAACAAAGGATATCCTTGTACTTGCAAATTTTGAAGGATGGTATTTATAATAATTTGAAGTAAATGCTTTTGCCTTTTGAGTATAAGCATATCCTTCAAAGCAGTGACATAAGTAAGAGGATATTCATAATCTTCACCTTATACTTGGCATAGGAAGCATATCCTTCAAAAATTCTAAGTGTTGTCAGTAGCAGACTCAACTTCGTAACGAAAGGTGGTCAAACGATGATGGCGGAAATTGGGGATGTTAGGGATGTTAAAACGTACAAACCTCGTTTACCTTCACTTGGTCATGACTTCAGGAGGAGCACTTCCATGTATTCACAAAATGAATCTCGTGACCCTGGATATCAACACGGTATTGGTCAGAAACTTGGTGTTAGTCAAGCAACGGTATCTCGGACTGTGGATAGAGTTGTGAACAGCATAGTTGCACTGTTTTTTCTTCAATCTTGATTTCATGTTGTTGATTTTTTAATAAGCCTTTAGTATCTAATGGTTTACCGAATGTTGATTCGTATTTTTTCAACATCTTCTTCAAGACATCGGCCTTTCTCAATTTTATTTTTGGAACTTGTGACTTTTGCAAACTAATGGGAGCAATGGTAATTTCATCTGCGTCAACTACAAGCTGAACAAGGCACGACTTGTCGCTCAAGATACAAATACCAGTCAACCTTTTACTTCTCCTTGGAGGATATCCTCGCGAGTATAAGGTAATCATTATGAATATGAAAACAAGGATATGCTTATACTTCTACCTTTTTCTCTGAAGCAAGACCTTATACTTTTACCGTATGCTTCCGAGGATATGCTTCTCGTGATAATGTTGATGAGTGATCTTTTTTGCTGTTGCTACTAAGAATTCATTGCATTCCCGTTCACATAGTTCTTTCTCAAGGTGATTATTTGAATATGCTTCACAGTCCGACTACATCTCATAAAATTCTCCAACTCTAATGTATATTGCAGTTTTCTACGTCACTCATAAATTTGCCTGAAGGAGAGCGTACCAAAAAACTCCATTTCTGTAGAGAATAAAGAAAATACCGGCAACATAAACTTCTACGCCATTATTCTGCATCTTCCAGTGGCGCAGACAACTCTTTTGAGAACTCAAATAGTTTTTCGAAACCATCCAAGTAAGCCCGAGGAATTCAGCATTATACTAATAATAATTGTATCCATTTTCCAGTAGGTCCGGTAGAGATAAAGAGATTCGCTGGAATACAAGGAAATCTGAGATTCTAGATTTCCAAGGTTTTTGAGGAGTTTCTAAAGAGATCCAAGCATCAGAGCAGATGAAGGTTCATCTTCAAATTAACTGACATGCTTTGTCTTAGGGTGATGTTTCAATATTCGATTCGGTCACCAGATATTAATTGTCCTTTGGATATGAAACAAGTATTTAAAAACTGACTAGAGTGTGCGTTATTTTTAAAGCTGGGGACCCTAGTAAAATCGAAAATTACCGAGCTATATCTATATTTGATAATTTTGGTAAAGCGTTTGAGATATCTAAATACAACTACATCTATCCTTTGACCTCGCATCTGATATCTGAGACGCAACATGGATTTATGCGCAATCGCTCCTACTATTTCTAGCTTAACTGAATCACCCAGGAAATTGCAGAGGTCTTAGATGGATGTGGTCTATACGGATTTCTCAAGGCCTTCGATACGATTAGTCACCAAACCTCCCTAACTGCTTAACCTGTCCTTCTCTGCTGTTTGTCGATGATTTAAAAATATATGCTCAGATTACAAGCATTGATAACTGTCTAATCTTGCAAACTGACCTGAATCATATATTGAATGGTGTTCAACTAATAAATTATTTTTGAATGTTAGCAAATGTAAACCTGTTCTTTTACTAGGAAAACGAATCCAATAATTTTTGATTACACACTGGAAGTTGTCAGTTTGGTGCGTTGTTCAGAAGTCATACGAGTATTAGTACAGTAGTATCATCCGCTATAAGAAGCCTCGGTTTTTTATAAGAAACTGTAAATCGCTTCGTAGTGAAATGGCACTGAGGGCTTTATACTACACTTTGGTGCGTTCTAAGCTGGAATATGCATCTTCTCTATGGCATCCATATACCAAAATCTATACTAATGAAATTGAAGTGTACAGAGGAGATCTCTTAAATACTTGATTTTCAAATTAGATGGTGTTTATCCCAATCGTGGGACTCCCCAATCATCGATGTTGCTCAGATTTGAAATGCATCCTCTTGGGCTGAGAAGAGTTTGTAATAGTTTTAAATTCCTTTACAAACTCATACACAGCGATGTTGATTCTTCAGCTTTATTAGCTAAAATTGATTTTCATGTACCGTCACGTTCCCGAAGATTTCTCGCTTTTTACTCAAAAACACCAAATTCTAATGTTATGACTAAGTCACCCGTGTACTTTATGTGCACCAGCTTTAACACCATAGCTGATAATTGAGACATTCATCATGATAAAGTCAAAGATATATTAGCTGTATTCAGCGACTACTATTATTCAATTTATAGCATTTAAGACATGTAGGTGAGTAGCTATTATTTTTTCTTCTTTTCTTTCTCAGAAACTGGGCGAGCTATGATTGTAGTTAAAAATACTGTAACGTCAAGTTGTATTCAATTACCTTGTAATTTAAGTGGATATATCTGTTGGGCAATAAATATATTACTATTATTATTATTCGACGCAGGAAAAAACTTTTCGTAACGCAGACTAGGCCTAGAATACAGCCTGAGCGGAAGAGGACAATCCGACTGATCAATCAGATATTAGCTAGAGACCTCAATCTTTTCCACATCAAAGATGTGCGAAGGGAGATCTATGCATTTTCTAGCCGATATGCTAACAAATTTGTCACTCTAAAACAGTCCTCCATACTGTCTTCTACACGGACCGCCAAGAATCTGCTTATAACTTTTACGACCATTTGTCCATTTTAATCTACAAACTCTACTAGCTTTTTTGTATAGTGTATGTGGCCTCCGTTGATCATTTTTGCTTTATTCCTTCAAAACTACCAAAGTTCCTGTCTAGGGTGTTTACTGTCCCTCTGTCTATTGTCTCCAAAATGCCTTACATACTACTGATACAGTTTGTGCCCTGTTTACTCCTAAATTAAAGCCGCTTTGCAGTGCAGTTCTGTTCAGAATCCTGTTCGATCCAAATCGTGACCCTTCTCTTCAAATAACATTTCTGTTTTCCGAAAGCAAGTTTCATCTCCCAATCTACATCGAGGATCTGCGCTGCTGGAGTTATACATTCACCTCTCCCGACTAGCATTAATAATGGGAGAAGTTGGTGGCCGATACCGATAGAGCAACAGTCGGTCTGTGCTGTCACGTAATTCTGCCTGCTAGAGTCCCTGGGGACCATTAAGTTAACCACTTATAATAGTCCGAAGCTTTTCCGATAGATAGAAGACGCATACTCGTATTCACGCTAGCGCCATGACTTGCCTATGGAAACCTCTTCTCTATTAGTTCGATGAGCTATAGGGTCAACGTATGAACGGTCTATTGAATAGGTTCAGGTAAATGAGATTATCTACAAGTGAGCCGAAGGGTGGGAAAATATTTCACCATACACTCAATAAGCGTAGATACAGAGCGGGCCAGTGTAAGGATCACACCCCCTTTTTGTATATCTCCAGGTACATTTTGGGAAAAATGCTCAGGCAAGTCAATTTTGATTTCGTGGGACGTCTTTTATCTACAACCGTACAATACAGGGTGATCCAAAATAAGATATTGCGGTATATCTTAATAGTCTAATCAAACGGTATTTGAAGTGAAAGTTTTGGTGTATTGTTTTCATTAGTTTTATTCTATGTTTTTTGGGGTGCTGAACACGAATCTGAAGTTTGTCCAACAAAAATTTGCTCGGCAAATATGAGAAATCATCAAAAAACTACCAAAAATCATGCTTTTAGCGGTTTTTAGATTACAACTTGCAAAGAAAGATATTTACGTAATAAAAAACGGTTTATTTAGTAAAATAAAGAGGAGAAAATTTCACTAAAATTTATGTAGCATAATATTTTTTCGTACGTCGTTATTTTGTGGTTGAGGTTTCTTTTAAGAATACAAAATTTGCCGGCTGATATAAATTATACAAGGTGTTTCTGAAATACTGGAGAGTGAACGAATTGTTGGGGTAGGCCCTAACCCGTATTTAATTCCTCTTTGTCGATAGGGCAACAGACGGTCTATGCTCTCAGGTAATTCTGCCTGCTGGACTCCCTAGGGACCATTAAGTTAACTGCTTATAATAGCCCCGGAGCTTCGCCGATAGATAGACGACACATCTTCGATTATGAATACGGCTTCTCTATTAGTTCGATGACATTGAACAACTTAAACAAGTTCCTGTAATAAAACAAAAACTGCGTAGATATAAATTAGAATCGTAGTCGAAGAAGGGTAAGCAGGAAAATGGTTCATCATCCGTACAGGGTGATTCACAAGTCGTGAATGAAACATCAATACAGAGAACCGTATTTTATGTAACAGTGTTTCTTCGAAGCCTTCATTAAAAAGATACGGGGTATTGAAGTTTAAAAATAATTTTTTAATATCATCAACTGGAATGACCTAAAATTTGGTTTTTGGCTTTACCTAAATCTTGTCCACATTCAAAAGTCTTTACTCAGAATTTACGCGCATCTGTGACGGAGATACAGGGAATTGGTGGCATTACTTTTCCAAATAAAAATAGTACGCCACCGTCTTTTTTTTCGAAACGCGAATTTTTTCAATTTTTCCTTCAATTGGCTACAAATAATTACTCTTGTGTTTTTTAATAGAGTTCAATGAAATAACAAGTAACAACTGGTGGGTCTCTGGAGCTAAGGGGACACAAACTCACAACAACACCGACATTAGGCAGCAGCGGTGGCCGCAGTAGTAGACTCTTCGGTCTTCTGAGTAGTCACCGTGCGCTGTGCGGCTTTCAAATCCCGCACCAGGAGAAACTGTTCTCTTGGCTATGGATGTTGTGGATTGTCCGTAGGTAGTAGATGGTCTCTGACTGTCGAACGCGGAGGTACCACCCGGCGGATCTCGTAGGCGGAGCCAGAATGTGTGCATGTTGCATGCACACGTGTTCCCTCGCCAGAGTCCGTGTGGCGTTCCCCCTTTCCCCTGTAGCCCCCTATAGCCCCACGGTACCCAATGGGTGTTCAGGCCTTAGGCCTTTGTGGTAGTTGGAGTATAAAAAAATTATTGAACAAAAAAAAAATAAAAAAAACTTGTAGAAAAGTCCTGGAGGACAGGCTAAAGGGAATTAATTTGTATTACCCCCCTCCCCTAGCTAAATGGTTTCCAGGAAAGATTAAAATAAATAAAGAAAAACCACCTGTGCAGATGCTTGGCTATTACCGGTAGGCAACCGGGAGCAGGAAGTCCCAGATGTAACCTGAAGGTAGAACGCGAAGGTGAAACCCGAAGGTAGAACCCAAAGATAGAACCCTCGAACAATGAGGGTTCACAGGCGTGGCTCCTATTTAAATTCGCCTCGGATTATCCCTGCAGACGGATCCCCTTTGCTTGATGGTGAGTGTAGTTATGTCCACATCTAAATCCCCAAGAGAGTGAGAAAAAGGCTCCGATAAAAAAAACCAACAGATAAAGATTTCTAATAAGAACCCCATCACCCCATAAATCAGAACTCTGCGTGTGAAACTATTTCACAAAATCAGGTAGTAGGCCACAGAATACCTACACCAGACCACCGGAATTACGAGGGATGTCTTTTAAGTCTTGCATATAGAAACATAGTAAGCCGCGTAGATCGAACATCAGTACTGAATCTTCAACTCACTCTTTAGTAAACTTAAATTCAAAATTTCACAACAATACGTGCAGTGTTCTCACTAAAGTGAATTTTTAAGTGTCACCAAGTCATTAGAAAAATGGAACTCAACCGAGGACATTTTCGCGCAATAATTTATTAAGAGACAATTATCGCAACAAGAATGCCTTGCTGAGTTACTGTGTGTTTCGGCAACGAAGCGCCACATCAGTCGACAATTCCCGTCGGTATGGAGAATTCAAACGTGGACGGGTGAGTCTTAGCGACGATCCCAGGGTGGGTGCACCAAAAACGGCAGTCACCCAGGAAAACGTCGATGCTGTGCGCAAACTCATCATTGAAGATAGACATGTGACATATATGGTATGACCCAAATTATAAGTGAACCGACTAGAATAACAGAGAGAACTTCTACATTATTAATCCTATATTTATAAGTTCTTCTACTTCATATGTTTCTAGTGGTACAATGAATGCTGATAGCTTTAGTGACATCAGATGGTATATTGTGATGTTAAATGTTCAATCAAATGTGAACCAAAATTTGTAACATACAGAGACTTTAACAACATTAACTTAGAGGCATTTGATAATGACCTTTATCGGATAGACTGGGAAAGCATACTTTACTTCAGCGACATAGAAAGCAAAGTTGAGTTTTTGACATCAAACTTATTGTCACTTTTTGACTTGCACTGTCCTGAACGAACAGTACGAGTCACAAAGCCAAAAGCGCCTTGGCGTACTGCAAACGTACAAATGTTATTCAGGGAAAGGGGTGAAGCTCTCTCCAAATATAAAATGGATCCATCAGAAGAAAACTGGAACAGCTATAAAAGCCTCAGAAATTACTGCTTGCTAGCATTACGCAAAGAAAAATCAGCCTATTTGGAACATCTACATAAAAATAAAAACTCTAAATCTCTTTACAATCATTGAAACAAATGCACATACAAAGTAATAAAGAGCCTCCGAACATTCCGGTCCACCTTTCCAATCCATATAAAGTGAATGATTACTTTACCTCAATTTTTAAGAATAGTGATGAACAATGTATTGACAAAATAATTCATTATCGTAACAACAGACATAGTTTTGAGAGGTTTTCTTTCAATTTAATTGACTTGACAAGCTTAGCATCTATAATCAGTCATATTGGTTCCAATGCATCTGGTAATGACGGAGTTACGTTGCGAATGTTAAAATTATGCTATCCCGCTATAAATCTTTATTTGTTGCATATTATCAATCTATGCTTAGAGAGAGGCTTTTTCCAAGCGCGTGGAAAACAGCAATGGTAAAACCACTCGCTAAAACCTCGAATCCTTTGTCATTTGACGACCTACGACCGATAAGTCTTTTGCCTCTTCTATCCAAAATACTGGAACGCGCAGCTTATATCCAGATTTACGAGTACTTAGACAAAAATAATATTATAAGTGTTCATCAATCGGGTTTTAAAAAAAATCATAGCACTACTACGGCTTTAGTGGACTTGATCGATGGCATAATTTCCGCGCTTGACAAAAAAACTTGTGTGCTCTTGTCCTTTTAGATTTCTCGAAGGCATTTGATACATTGAATCACAAACTGCTTGTAGCCAAATGTCATTACTATGGCTTTGATGATCTTGCTTGTAAGCTCATCAAGTCATATTTAAGTGATCGGTCGCAAGTGGCTGTGGTTGATGGTCAGATGTCTTTGCCAAATAAAGTTCAGTCCGGAGTACCTCAAGGCTCCGTATTAGCTCCATTGCTTTTTTTGTTATACACCGCGGATCTTCAAGATACTGTCAAGCACTGTCATGTGCAATTCTTTGCCGATGACACTCAGGTAAAGTATGATTTTCCAGCCTCACGCTACTCTGAAGCCCAAGACCAAATCAATGAAGATTTGTCAAGTATTAGCCGCTATTGCAAGCTCAACCCATCGAAGTGTAAAGCCTTGCTATTTGGTAATATCAAAATAAGAGCAAATCTTATAAGCAAAATTGACGTTCAATCGAAGGAAAAATCATCCCTTATTCAGAATGTGCCAAAAATTTGGGCTTACATTTAGATGAAGACCTGAGGTTTGAAAAACACTTACAGCACGTTTTGAGGCAATGTTACGGTTCGCTCCGGCTTCTATTTGCAAACAATTGCATCACTGGTAAGCAATTGAAAAATAATTTATTACCTCTGCCTAACTGCTGCGAATAAAAGACGTCTGCAGATAATGCAAAATACTTGTAGTCGGTACATAAATAATTTGAGGAAATTTGATCATATATCGCATACGTATTCTGACCTCAATTGGTTAACTATAGATAATCTATACAAATATTCTGTTATAAGTTCTGTGCATCGTATTTTACTATCCGCATCACCCCCATACCTGTTTGAAAAATTTATTACCAGATCCAGCACGCATAATATTAACACAAGGCATCAGGCTTTCTTTACTACCAGTCCACCGTACTGTTTTATATTCAAGAACCTTTATTTACAATGCCGTTAAATATTACAACAGTATTAATTTTCATTTTAAAAATATTGCGAATATTAAAACTTTTAAATTAAAATTGAAGTCCGATCTTCTCTCGCAAACATGAATTGCCACTTATATTTTTTTTATTGGTTAATGATGGTTGATTTTGAAAAAAATCCCTTTGATCACAGTTTTGTTGGTTTAAAACAAACCGATTTAAATGTATGTACCATAGTTAATGTGATCCATTTCTATGTAATTTCGTATAAATTATCAAAACGGGGTTAGGTGGAAGAATAGCTCACGCTAAACCTCGCAACTCGTAATGTACTAAATGTTTAGTGCAATATAAAGACTCTTTATTATTATATATCGCGAGATTGAGACGTCCTTGAAGATCTCAAAGACCTCAATTCAAAAATTTTTTCTCGTTGGATACCCCACCTGTTCACTGAAGAGCAGAAAGCAGCCAGGGTTAATTGTGTCAAAAAACGCTTGACCGTTTCAATCCCGGAAACTCAAAAAATGTGTACATCATTGTTAGTAAGGATGAATCGTGGATTTACTGTTATGAACCAGAAAATAAACGACAGTCGGCTGTTTGGTGTTCCAAGTGAAGAAAAGCCAAAAGCCATCCGTTCTCGTTTTGTGTCAAAACCGGATCATATTGCAACAATCCTCTTAACGAGCAAAGAACTGCTACTGCGGATGGTATACCACCATTTGTTTGCCAAAAGTCATCACCGAGCTTCGAAAAATCAACCCGAAAGAAGAATCATCCTCCACCAAGACAATGCAAGCTGCCCACAGCCCAAAAAATAAGGCAGTATTTAACGGAGGAAAACGTGGAATTATTGGACCATCCTCCATATAGTCCCAATCTAAGTCCTAACGATCTCTTTACTTTCCCGAAAATTAAAACAGACTGCGTGGTCAAAGGTTCCAGTCACCAGAAGAAGCAGTTGACGCATTCAAAAATGCCGTTTTGGATCTGCCAGCAAACGAGTGGATAAGTGCTTCGAAAATTGGTTCGAGCGCATGCAGATGTGTATTAATCTTCCTGGAGAATACTTCTAAAAACAATAAAGTCATTAAACTACCTACCGTATTGTTTTATTTCCATATGCAAAATTTAAAAGACATCCCTCGTAGCACCAAGTCACCTTCAGCTCTCGTATTTACGGTCGAGAGAAATTATGAAAAATTACCTCCAGCGAGATGGAGATTAGAGTACGATTTTCTACCACAAAATTAGTAGATCAGGAGAAGTGTTTTATTACTAAAGACAAAATTCTATATTTTTAAGAACTGATACAAAATTATTATTCTAAATAAGAAAAACGTTGTAATAATTTACTTTATCAAGATATAGTTAATTTTACCATAAAAAGAATCTGTAACAAGATGCCTGGTTAAAAGCGAGTACTTTCCGCACCATGGTAAAAAAAGTATTTTACACTTCTTGTTCCGGCGGTGTACTTTATAAGGCCTATATTTAAATAGGATGCATAATATTCTTTTAATAGAGCCGTTCCGGTTGATTCGCATCTCCAATTCAAGAAGTAAACAATCCCGTTCTATCTGCGAAATGTTCAAGACTCAATTAAACCTTTGACCAGATAAAGCTAGCTGAACAGCTGCTGCAGTAGTCTGCCCTTTAGTGAGACTGTAGAGGCAAAATTCAAACGCTTTCAGCAAACAGCGAATCCCTCAAAGAAAACCTTGTCGGTTTGCATTTAGTAGCGGCGGACATAAGAGAGAACGCTTTCAGGCTCCGAACAGGAATGCCAGTGGCGTATCTCGAAGGCAAACGGCTTTTGATAAAAGTCATTCGATTGATTGCGCACTACTTTAAGCAAACAAGCACAAGTGCGTATCTCGGTTTGTTGCTGAACACATTTTCATCGCGTTTACACTTGAACTACATTTTACTGTTTTCCTAATTAAGGACGATGTAGAATAGGTATATCCGTGAACTCAAGCTAAATGCCGGGACACCGTGGCTGTATGAGGATCCCACGGGAAATTTTATCAATACGCGTTTTGAACTGCCTAAGGTTAGTAGAACTGGGAAAAACCCCTCTTGTAGATTGCTCATAATCGCGACTCCTTAGCGACAAAGGAGCGGTCGTATCGGGCAGTTCTAGATCTATGAAGCTCAACACGGTTAGGGTGCGAGGCCGATGTTGGGCAGGTCTGTCTGGCAAGCACATCACACGCGGCATAATGGAGGATATCTCTGAGGGCAAAGCCCGTTGGTTTAGCTTTAGAAGAGGGGTCGCTATTTACTCCTCTCTAACCATACCCAGCAAGGCCAAATAAGAATCGCAAATGCAAAATACGCACAATATTCTGAGAACATAAAAGCTCTTAGTTTATAATTGTTTGAACAAGAAATATAAAGTTCAAGGTGAAACTAACCAGCACAGGATCTTTTAACACCAAATTAAGCTCTCCATCTGGTCAAACAGCAGATCTGGAGATTGTTAAATTTTGTCACATATCAGAGTTAGGGAAAAAATAACTCAATATATCTGAACGGTCTAGGGTCTAAGCACTATTTTTATATCGCTATGCCTCTTACTGCAGTGGAGTGAAAAAATGGAAGACGGAAGCACAATGGATAGTACGGCGGTCTTGTGTTTACAAAGATACACTGAATTTACAGAAGTGTACGATGACATATGCTACTCTCATCCATTTTGGTACTTGACTATAGCCATTACTCAGCAACTGACAGTGTGTAGCTGCTTTCAGAACTAGTCACGTGTACTCCAGTATCGCCTAATCAACTACTACCTAGTTTTTGTACACCGTGTTAAAAAATTATTCAACTTAAAAAAAAAAAAAATAGCGTTCATTGATGTTCTCAAAATTTTACTTATTTCTCCGCCACTGTCAGTGAAAGGACTTATGAAGCTTTTATTTCTCACGAGATAGGAGAGGAAGTATTGCGACTTTGGATGTTATACGAGGTCTGTGAATCAAGCGATAAAACTGGCAACGTAGCATTCAATCTGGCAACACTGGGGGTGCCGGACTTGGAGGAGAGTCGGGGAGTAATGTAATTAGCTTCCAGTACAGGTTCATCAAACTCAGACAACATAATTTCAATGACACGTACATCGGATTGTGCCTAGACAAAATCCAAATTAAGACTACTTTACGAAGGCTATTGAAACCGGAAGATGTTACCAACGACTTTGTTATCTCGAAGATACAGAACGTACGTTACCTCTATTAGAAGTGCTTCAGAATGACACCGTGACATAACCAAGATCGAAATGAAGCAGTCTTATCCGGAGCGAATGTCTGTAAATCGATGAATAGGGAAAATCACAAAAATAGGTGGTATTTACGTGGTCTGTAAATCAAGTGATAAGACTGGCAAGGTAGCGTTCGATCTGGCAACACTGGAGGCACCGGGCTTGCAGAGATGACAGGGGAATATGTGATCCGCCTTCAGTACAAGTTTAAACTCGGTCGAGGCAGTTTTTCCGGTTGTGTTCTAGAAATGAATTACATCAATTTCGAGCAACGGTGTGCTATCATGTTTAGCCTCAGACTTAGGGACAGTGCAACGGAAAATCTTGTTAAACTTCAGCAGGCCAGGTCTTTTCACAAGGGAGAGAGTCGATTTAAGATGGACCCCGAAGAGGAAGGCCTCCATCTTCAAGCACAGATGAAAATACCGACAGAATTCGGGATCCTGTGGGTGCAGATCGTCAGCTGACACTGAAAGCGATCAGGGAAGAGTAAAATTTACTCGCACCACCGTTCATAAGATCATAAACACGATAATGCTCCTAATAAACGAGTTTTCGGCCCGTAAAAACATTCCTGTGTCTCATCAGCGTCCTTATTCGTATGACTTGAGTCCTTGTGACTTTTCTCTCTTCCCGAAGTTGAAAATCACCTCAAGAGAACTCATTTGGGGACAGTCGAAGGCATGCAAATGGCTGTAACCGACCAGCTGAAGGGCCAGGTGAGAAGGAATTTTCAGGGTGTAATTGTAATTATATTGGAATAAAAACATTAAAAACAATCAGTCTCATTACTCAATTTTCAGACCTCGTACGACGTCTGCATCTCGCAAAAAACAAGTGATTGATTTCCATCGATCTGTCTGTCGGTGTGTCGCTCGTTTATCTGTCCGCTCATCCTTGGTCTGTGTATAAGTTAGAAATTACCGCTGAAATTGTAGTAAAATTTC